TATTGTTAATTTGCTCTGAGCATTGAAACAGCTGCACATTACGTTGTTGAGAAGCCAGCTGAAGCAGGCCTTCAATCTGATGATTTAAAGCTCCACGTACCAAGAGTGGTAGATGCACACACACATCTAGCCAGTCTTCTCGCCCTTTTGACCTTGAGCTCTGCACATGAACTTGACTCAGCTGTCGTGTCAAATCAGACTGCTACCCTGTTTACACACACACACACCGCCTGTTCCAATTTGGAAAGCTGGTTGACAGCTGTGCTTTAAATTAACAAAGGGAGTGTGCCAGTGAGTTGGTATTATGCGTGACACTATTATCTCTTCATCTCTCTGCTACTTTCTACTTCTCTTTCAGTTGCTTCTTATTGCTGATAATAATGTGCTGATACTCTATATGACATTGGGTCACAGTACCATGAACCAGAGTTGTTTCTCTCTTTTACTTTAGATGTATTAGTGTGGACAAACGAGCAGGTGATCCACTGGGTCCAGACCATTGGTCTGAGGGAGTATAGCGGCAACCTGCTGGAAAGTGGCGTACACGGCGCGCTCATCGCTCTGGATGAGACTTTCGATTACAGCAGCCTAGCACTTATCCTGCAGATCCCTATGCAGAACACACAGGTGGTTATAAGAGGAAAACACAACCATTTACATTCAGCATGCAGTGACTTGGGGCAATCTTAAAGAATTATGAAATAAAGCATCTGTGTAGAATATTGGCTAAAAACACTAGATTTGTACCGATAATATTTATTTTTATCACAATTTCCACACATTAAATACTTCTTAATTAGGACCATATGCTCACTACAAGTTTTATGGCCTTTCTGGAACCAGTTCATCTTCCAACAGTCACAGTTGTTGAGCTTTTTGTATGAATGTTTTTTTGTTGACAAAGTGGTTTTTGTGCAGTCGCAATTTCATTCTCTTCCTGGCAATATAATATAGTACTGCTTCAGATTCTGTATTGGTTGTTCTCAGATTGAAGGTGCTCGGTTGTTCTCCCAAAGAATTCACCAGTCAGAGGCTTCATTGCAGATTACCTGCCAACTGTTTCATATTAACGTGATTTTTTTTTTGGCAGTTCAACAAAAAGGTTACTACTGTTTCTCAGAGGAATTGTTTTTCATTTTATGGTTAACATCAGTTCTTGTTTATTTCTGATCATGGTTGGTTAACTCACTGTGTCCCCTGATCACAGAGGCTGTGCTGTTTTTCAGGCACGGCAGGTCCTGGAGAGGGAGTTCAACAACCTGTTAGCCTTAGGGACCGACCGGCGTCTAGAGGAGGTGACACTTCAAGCTGCTGCTTTGATCAAAAACAATATTGTGGCAAAAGGGCAAATTGTTTGACCTTGTTTTTCTCCCTTTGTCTGTAGAGTGGGGATGACAAGTCTTTTCGACGCTCTCCATCTTGGCGAAAGAGGTTTCGGGCACGTGAGGGAGGGGCAGGGCTGGGTATGATGGCGGGCTCTATGGAAACGCTGCCTGCCGGCTTCCGTATGCCCTCTATGTCCATGCCACCCTCGATGAATTTGCTGCCCAAGAAACAGCTCCAGCCTGAAGGTGTGTTACACTACAAAAAAATCTGCTTTATTTTAGCCTATGTATTTTTCTCCATGTAGCTATGTGCTTTCCATTCTCTCTGCTTCTACTGACTGACTAACTGCATGTCATCTCTGTCCTGCTGTATTCACACCCCTCTGTGCCACATCCTGTCAAGCTCCTCCCCCGGCGCCCCCAAGACTCGACCCCTCAGCTGTGCGGACCTATTCATGCTAACTACTCTCTGCTTACTAACAGGAGCGCTAATGCTAACAGGTAAGCTAAAACACTACCTGAAACTACTGAACATGTGAGTGAGATTTTAGGTTGGTGCACTTTTAATTGGCATTGCCCAACTTTTAGCCAGTAAACAATAAGGCCTTAAACTGTAGGAACCACATAACAGAACTTGTACCTCTTCTCCCGGGTTTTGCTTGTGACTCCACTGCTCTCCAAGAGACGGGGCTCCTGGGGCTAAATTTCAGCATCCCTCAGGAGGTAGTACTAAATCATGTTCCAGGAACACGAGGTGAGAGAGGGTCGTCACGTCTCAAGTATTAGCTTCAAGTACAGTGTGTGGCTACACATTGAGCATTATGTGCTCTACTCAGCTGTGTGTGTGTGTGTGTGTGTGAGGAGAGCATCCCCATCCCCCGTGTAAACAGTGACCGACCAGTGGAAGAATATAGTGGAAAAGCAAAGCAGAACCACATCAAGTCCTTCAAGTTCCATCAGCTTACAAGCATGGGAAGCTCCACGTTAAGGCTTGTAAAGTTCCCCTGTTGGGACAACACTTATGGGCATATTTACGAAGGATTTGAGGCTCATTTTTTGGCATTAAACAGTGAAATTGCATGTGTTCATATTTATGGAGTCACAGTGGGGTTTTGCAGCGGAAAAAAAGCAAAAAGTGTCACCACAGGAATTTGCATGTCTGGTCTCTGCAATGCAATGCAGTATTTATTTTTAAGGTGTTCCCAATCAGGGAGGAAAGAATTCATTCAAATATCCTCAGCACCTGATTTATCCCGCTGCAGCCGAGGGAATTGCAACTGAAATTTAACATCAGGAGAAAGCAGGTGTCACATTTATGGCCCTAATGTCAACATGGCAGCTCTTAGTCTGAGATTTAATACAAGGGAGAGGGTGTTGAGAGGGTTGACATGGGAGAGGGTGTTTGGAAATCATGTCACTCACCAGAGGACAACATGAGGGACTGTTACAGGCTTTCAGGTCAAACCATGTTTCACTTACTGGTCAAAATAAAAGGCTGGCAGAAGACTTTGTGACTGCAGCTCTGAAATATGTTTGTCGATTTCTTCAACCATATTAAAGTTCAGTCACTGTAAATGTAGACTCTCTTCTACACTCCCTCTTGGTCCACACATACAGCCTTTAGGCACCAGATCCTAAATGGTGATGTATTCAAATTAACACAGCTGTAGCTGTGCTCGTTTACAGTATCGGTGTTGGTAAATCTGATGCGAAACTGAAAAACTGAAATTCTGTAATTTTTTGCAAATTTGACAGTGATTCATGACAGGCTTAGTAAATATCCCCCATATTGTGAAAAGTGCTGCTCAAAGCAAAGAATTGTCACCCAACTTTTCAACTCCCTTCACTTTTTTGAAGAATTTGAGCCTTTTGTGGTTTATACTTTTAGTTTTCTAAATCTAGCAAGCTAACGAAACAGATATGTTTCTGAGCTGACAAAAGAAGAGTTAATACTGGACTTCATCTATGCATATACAGGCGTTTACAAATTTTAGGCTAGGAAATTTACATGGCAAAGGAAAACCAAGTAGCAGGCAAAAGTTCAATCTTTCTCCTTCTTCCTGTCTCACTTTCCTGTCTCCTTCTTCCCTCTTTCAGTGCATTCTCATTACTTATACGGACACATGCTTGCGGCCTTTTGAGAGTGATATGCCAAATCTGAGGAGGGAGACCTGGGTGTCACTGAGGGGAGATCTCCACCACTTTGTTGCCCAGCCTCACCTCCCACCTTTCACCTCTCATTTCTCCTTCGGACACGTGCAATACAGAGGCCAACTCTGACCTTTGAACTCTTGAGAGTGCTCATTGGCTGCGCTCGCTGCTGTAAAGGAGACTCATCCCGGTCTCTCCCTGTTTACCCAGTGCTCCCTGTAGCCTTGTTGTTGTGGTGTTGTGCTCCTGTTCCCCTGGTCTCAGCTGTGGGTTCTTGTCCTGGTTCTAATAGTCTCAACATAGCTAAGTCCAAACCAATCACATCCTCAGAAACACAGTACTTGGTTAGTGTTAGAAAAAAATAGACTTAAAGGGATGGTGACCAGTCTTGGATTTGGACTTGGAAATGATGAATACTTGTATAAATGACAGATCCCACTGCACATTGCCCTTCTACCGGTTATGCAAGGTATTACTCATTTGTTGTCTCTGTACATAAAATGGATGACTTATGTTTTTTATAGAAATATATATATATTGGAAATATATATGGAAAACAATATAATATCATTGCTGTATGAAACCCAATGCCCTGTATTCGATAGTGACTGTTCTCTCTCTCGCTCTTTCTTTCTCTTCCTCTCTGTGTCGGGCCTCTGGGTGTCTTTTGCCGTATGCTGTAAGTGTGTGTTAGTGGGAGGAACGCACTAAGGAGGGGATGTGTTTCTACAAGGACTCCTCACAGGTTCATGGGTCCAATTTCAGACTTCTCTCTTTTCCTCTTCTCCAGTTCTTTTCCTTTCCTCCTCCTCCTCTTTTGACACTATGTAGCTGTTATCTCTCCTCTCTCCACCTCTCTCGCCTTCTGTATGACACTATGTAGCCTAGATTAGAGAGAATCCTTTAATATGAAGCGTGCATGTGTGAGCGAATGAGTATCTCTGCTTGAGACTTGTAGGGACCTGTGTGAAAGGCCGACCCCAGTCATGGGACCATGACTCTTCTCTGTGGATGGGTAGTGTGAACATTGTAGCTCCTGTCTATTGATTCTTTACTTTTCTCTCCAAACTGTAAACTGCTGCTCAACATCAGCCAATGATATCCACATTAAACTGCTCAAAGTGACGGACTCGTTGGATCTTGACCCATCACCTCCTGTTTAGTTGCCATGGAGATGTGCCAGTGAGCAGTCAGTACTCTTGGCTGATCAATCCCTTATCCAATGAGAACACAGTATCTGAACAAGTGAAGTACTGGATGAGTGTACAATCTTATTTTTTATTTTACAGTTTTTCTGAGGTGTCTAAAAGGTGTAATGTGCTATGTGGCAGCTATGAGTACTGTGTCTTTATTCCAGGTGTGAAACAATGCTGACAAATCAAGATTTTATTATTTGGCAATTTAAAAAAGTGTACTGTATTTATGACACTATATAGACATAAGTAAAGCTGTTTTTTAAAGATTTTTGGTGTTGTCTTCTTTTTGAGGTTATGACTGATATTGTTTTAGTTAAAAACAACAATGTATTGAAAATGATCTTTATTGCAAGAATTGGACATAAAATATCACTTTTTGGAACATCTACAAATACACAACAATCTTAGTTATAAAAGTCAAAAATAAGTTAGCACAAAAATGAAAAATAAAATGGCAAAACCACTCTGTAGAAAAAGGGAACGTATTTACATCACTAGCATTCATAACCAGTTTAAATTAAGCTGATCTTGGTCAAAACTGCTGTGGTACATATTGGCCCCACAAATAAACTCATGTTTTTAAAGCATAAAAACACACACAAACACAATGAAAGATCAGGGAAAGGTTTCGAAAAGAGGAAAACTTAAGTAAAGCGAACAATCAGGTTTTGTCATTCCTCTGTGGTTCTGTCAAAACGGAGACAAGCCTAACAAAATATAATTCTAGCAACTAGGTGTTGGGTTCATGCAGCAACATTTTGGATTTCTAGTTAGACAAGGATCCCATGGATCTGACAGGCAAGTGTGGACCACAGGATAAGACAGGGAATAATGGGAATAAGGCCTCACTGTGTACAGGAGGAATTGACCAGCAGACCCATAGATCCACAGTTACAATCACAAATTTTAAAATTTAGCATAAGTTGAAACACTTAGATCAGTAGAGATAAAAATTAATTAAACTGGAGTTTGGTACTGCATATCAACCTCCACTGTCAAATATCATTTTGCTCTTTGTCTGTGGCCTTGTGCGCATCTCTGGGTCCAATGTTTGTGGAGGGTCTATTTGGGAATGTCCACAGTAAAGGCCACCACTCCATCTGCTGCAGAGATGCCATCCACAATGGAGGTCAGGGCGTGCATGTTCCCCTGCTCTGGAGAATCCGCAACGCTCAGGAGATCTGCAGAGACCCAGTCACACACTCAGTATCTGTGTGAGGGAGCACTGATCTGTTTCTGCAGTCTAATGAGCCTGGGCATGAACTGTACTCACCCTCACTGCTGTAGTTCTGAGTGCACTGTTCTGGAGTGCTGCTCCACTCTGGGCTACTGCAGCAGGTGCTGCCCGAACTGGGCTCGCTTGACGACGACACCTGTTACCATTGAGATGAACACACAGAAGTTGCTGTCAGTCACTCTGTCTTATGACAGGCACACCCTGCCCCACATAGAGAGACAGCACACACTCCAGTGTAGTGAACCACACACAGCACCAATGCATGCAAAATTTACACAAAGAGCCCAATCTCAGCAAAAGACAATAATATTCTATATATGTAGCCTGTTATACATTTTATATAAAAGACCTTGCAACACCAAGACTATTTGCCAGTGACAGCTGTTAATGGATTTTTCGCTGTATTTTTGCACCTCTCTTCTCAGTTTGTTTTTGGTGTCTCAACCCTTCAGATAGACCAAAAAAAAAAAAATTGAAACTTTTAACTTTAAAAATCTCTGAACATAACAAGACACAGACTAAGTACACAGACAAACAGACCAGTTTATCTGGTCAATTCAAACATCAAAATGTATCTACAATAATCAAAGCAGGCTTTAGAGTGAATCAGTTAATCAGAGTCACACATTGTAGAGCTTTTTTACTTTCATGCTGATCTAGTTTCTCTTTCTCTGCTTGCTGTCTGTTCATTCTGTTTGCCTATTGATTCTATTGTCAGTGTTTAATATATGACCATCTGCTTCTCCACATCCCTATTGTGTCCTACTCACTCTGGGCTGGACCGGACTGGGTCGGTAGTGCAGTCCTTGCTGCCCTGTCTCAGTGTCCTGCTGGTTCAGGGAGGACACCAGGGCCTGCAGCCTTTCAATATATTGAATGGCGCTCCGCAAGATCTCCACCTTGGGCAGCCTCTGGTTGGGATTCATTAGGGTGCTCCTCTTCAGAGCATCAAAGGCCTCATTCACCTTCTTCAGACGCCTCTTCTCCCTCAATGTTGCCGCTCTCCGACGGTCCATGGTCACTGTCTTCCTCTTGCATAGTTTACAGGCCCAGGGCAGGCACTGGCCAGGGCAGTGGAGCTCGGAGTGAGGTGACAGGCTGGACGGGGAGGCTTTGTCCTCTGTTCCTGTGACCCCGACTCCAGCATCGCCAGACAGACTCCCACACAAGCCCATCATGGAGTTCCTGTCCTGGTACCCAGTTTGGTCATACGCCCCAGGCAGACGAGAGGGGAAGTAATTGTCCCCTCCTTCATAGAAGCGCTGGTCAGGGAAGAAGTAAGGGTTGGTCTCGAAAAGCTCCATACTGGACAACGCTGTGGTCTGGAGGTATGGGGACAAAGATCCCTGGTTCCCTTGGAACTGCTCTACTCTTTGTGGTCTTCGTTGCAGCGCGTGGAGCATGTGTGTTGGAGTGTCAGTGTGTGTGCCTGTTCTCGTCCCTAGCTTGAGTTTGTGATGAGTGGAAGACGTGTGGAGAACAACTGGTGTGGAGCAACTGCAGGCTGGCATTTAAACCCCTCTGCCTGCTGCAGGATCACAGGGTTAAATTTAGCACGAGCCCCCAGAAACCTGACACGACGTTTAGCTGTTGCTGCACATCTACACTTCACATTTCTTTTGGGCCCTGCTCTCTAGGGCTTTAAGGCCCTTTTGTGTGTGTGTGTGTGTGTGTGTGTGTGCCCTGTGAGGGTTGGTGCACTCATGTGTCTTAAAAGTCCAGGATATGATCAAGTTGCCGTGGAAATGGGAGAGATAACCTTGGATCAAAGATGTCCCTCGTAATGAGCTAATCCCAGCCTCGTGTCTCCCTCCGTGCCACCATACATGAAGACCCCTGGCACGGGGGAGGAAAAGGGGGCCAAACAGTAGGGACAGTCTGGAGACAGCTGTCACTTCTACTAGGAGCCAGTGATATGCAATGACAACAAATTCTTTGACCCTTAATTCTTGGGAAGGAAATGAGGCCATAGATTTTTGTTTACACAAAACTAGGTCACAGATAAACACTTGTAATGTGTTGTGACTGAAGATTCAGAATGATCAGTAGGTCGCCATTGTAGGTGAGTCTTAGTGTTACATCACCACATTCATATGTGCCTACTTTCCATCTAAGATGATTTCACAGCATGGTGTAAGTGACCTTCTGAGCAATGATAGGCTCCAATCAGACAGGCCTGTGTAAGGAATGGACAGTAAGTCATAAATATGGTCTTTGTTGTCCTGACCTCTTACAGCCAGTTGCAATGTTAGCCTAGCCACCAGGTGCTAATCCTTCCAGGACATGTCTCACCTCATACCTTACCAGTTAATTCAGACTGGCTTCCACTAGCATGAACAAACAGCCCATACACAGCACACACTTCAGTCAGCAGAAAAGTGGCCTGGAATGTTTGAGATGTGTTACATGGTTGTGTATCCTATAGAACTGCCATAAATTAATCACAGTTATACACATATCTGGCAGGGTATGTTTGCTTGGAGACAGGGGGGTTGCTCTGTTTGTGGCCACACTACATAAAGTGTACAGGGGTGTGTGGGTGCATACCACTGCCAATGACACACGTCAGGCCTGGGACAAATGGCATATGTTGTCCTTTCTCCTTCTCTGAATGCCTTTCATCTTTTTTAACCAAGAACGTAAAAAAGCAACATAACAGCATACATTTATATTCATTCATACAATTATTTTTTATCATTAAACTAACCCCAAACTGATAAAAGGCAACAAGAGATTAACAGGTGAGTAAATAAGAGTAAATACATCCATAAATACTTGAATAATTAACATAGAGCTTGAAAAGAATCATTTTTAAAATAGATGAAATTATCTTACATCTATCTTTCATTAGGTTATTATACAGTAGGTTTCAAATTGTACTCACAAGATTTTCAACTTTACTCATGTATATCTCATAGTGAGATAATGAGATGACTAGAACCTATGGGAATTGAGACAACCTTATTGTTAACCTCCCTTAAAACTCCACATGCCACCATAGCTACATATCTACAGCTAACGTTCGTAATAAAACTAACTAATAACATCATGTTAGTCATCCATGTACTGTATACTGTCTTAGCATCACCACACTAAACTCTTTTAACTGTAGCTAAGACATTTAGTTTTTGGTTACAGAAAGTGTGAAGTCAACTCTTTTTTTTTTAGCAAATTACCACATAAATGTTAAGTAAGGAGACATAAAGGCATTGCTTAATATTCATGGCTATACTTTTTTTGTCTTTCAGAAATGTGTTTCTTGATTAAACTTACAGACCATCAGCTCCTTAAGCAGAATCCTTTCCAATTCCTTTCCTACTAAGGGATGGTACACCAAAGCAAACCTAACTTAAAATGCACTTCCAATAATTGTACAGACACCACTGCACTGGTGTGGACTAGTTTTTACGTCATATGATGACTGCTGAGTGCCCTGAAATGTTCTGCTTAAAACTAACAGTATATAGTTTTTGAAGATATTTGAGATGTCATATTAGAAAAGCACAGGCGTAACTGATAATAGCAGTGATGGTGGCATTCCGTTTCAGTGTACCATTACCAGGGTTAGGGTATGGCTCATGTGGGTTCAAACGGGTAGTTTACTGGCCCACCTAACTGGAACAGAGCTATTGCCAGTGTTATTGATTACACCTGTCCTTTGTGCCTGCTGTGCCTTTTAACAAGCTCTCACATCATAATGGAACTCCTAATTAGTGCTGTATTAAAAGCAGGTGTGCTGGAGCCAAAATATATCTTTATTCCCAATTTTGGAGCATTAACAGTGAAATTATATTTCCACTTTGAATAAAAACAAACAAACTGGGTTGTTTAACAGTGAGTGAAATTATCTGAGTCAATTTAAGGTGGCATGACTCTGCAGCCCCAACTGGGGGGTTGAGGTTCAGTTTTGGGGTTGAGGCAGAGCCTGGCACAGGGCTGCGCTGGGCTGTCAGGTTAATCTGTGATGGATAGTCACTGATGGTGGAGCAAGTACAAAGACGCCTGTGTTGGACTCAGGGGTAGAGCAGGGAGGGGGCCTGCAGTGTGTCAGAGTCACTCATAACCCCCTGTCATCTTAACCCATTGTCAGCAGAACTAGAGAACTGTGTGTGCCTGAAGTAATGTCAGGCACACACTTCTTTGAAGTATTAGTCCTCTCAGCATTTTGAAGGGAACACTTCAGAAGCAGCAGGTCAGCTAGAACGGGGTGTTTACTTACTGTGGATACATAGATCAGATCAAAATTTTACTCACATGACAGTTGTTATTATAACAAATGTTTATCTGGCTTTATCTTTTTGAGCCTGGTACTTTACATTTAAGTTGTTTGGACCTGATTACCCACATGTAAGAGGCAACTCAAAACAAAATACATTTCTGATTTTATTCTAAAGAGCACATCTACTGATGGAACAAGTAAACATCTCAGAAACCAAACTATAGTTAATAAGATAGAGTTAATAATTGTGTGATGTTTAAAACTGTAGAAGCCAAGTAATGTACAATGAAAATAAACATTTATATTCAAAATAAAGTTTATGTATACAAGTGTGTGTGTAGGTCTGTATTATGTGTGTGTGTGTGTGTGTGTGTGTGTGTGTGTGTGTGTGTGTGTGTGTGTGGCAGGGACTGCCCTGTCACTGGCAACACTGTTCCACTTCTCCTCATTGACAAGCAGCAGCACATTGTGGGACAGCTGAGCAGGAGGGAGGAGGAAGGGGGGTAGCGATCAGTCATCCTCCTCTCCAGGTTAGCCTCAGGATCATCACTGACCTGAAGAACTGTCCTCTGAGCGCAGCTGGAAAATATCTGATACGTAAGACGAGAATGACATAACAACAGTGAAGGACCAGGAACTTAATCCACTGATACAATAAAATATATATTACAATACTTGTTTAATGATTTTCTAATTTCCAGGTCCTTTATTTTCTTAATGAAAGGATTAACAGAATCATGACATTTACAGGGAAAATCAAGACAATGGTCTTAGACAGTGATTTGAGTTTCTTCTATTATTTAAACTTGAGAAAATATTAATTTAATCTGAAATTTTGTATAGGACTCCATAGTTTAGCTAGCAATAATTTGGAATATATTTTTTGAAAGGGTACCAGTTGCACACTATCCATTTTTTCTATAATAATTACGACCAAGTTATGTTAGACATGTTAGAATTTTCCCTGAAATTCAGTGCTGAATTTAATGGAAATTCAATGCGTTGATTCATAATATAATTCATTTACATTAGAAAAGCTCATGACAACTTAAAAACCTGGTAAAGCTCTTCTGCTTTACAAAAACAGTGTGAAAACAAATAATGTCCCACTTTTTAGGTTTTAGCATACAAAGTGTACATATTTGTGGCAGGAGAAATACCAACATGAGGTAAAGAATTTAGAGGATCTACAGGACAGGAAATGAGTTCTGGATTCATGCAACAATTTCATGTATTAGTTATGTGACTTTGGGCGAGGACGTGGTCGCCATAGTGACCGCAACAGATGCCTGAGGGAGCTGCTCAGAGACCATGATAACTGCACTATTACTATTACTGAACCCTTGGATATCAGTATTTCATACAGCAGAATGTGGAATTCTGTTCCCAGACTATGATATTATACCAACTACACAACATTAATGGTGAGAGATGACAAAGCAGTGCACTCCCCCAAATCCAACAAAACCAGATAATTATTCTGAAATAAAAAACTGGGACCAGTCTCTGCTGATTACTGCACCACTGTACCCTGCTATTTCTGTTGAGTAATGAACCTTACATAAGCTCCATTTGCCTGATGTCTAAAGGTGATGTGACACTACTACGGCCCAGCTAATCATCAGGAGAATACTCCCATTCATTCCTGTTCAGAATGAACCGCCCCACCTGTGTTTTCACAGGGCTCTGGAGGCCCGGAGAAAGCTTTCTAAGTCAGGGGGAAACAGTAGTTCTGTAGACCAGCCATGCTGCTGCTCACTGGGTCTTTTATCACAAAGTAATCCCCTACAACAAACAGAATGGTCGGCATGTGCATATGCAGCTGTCGCAGTCTTAGTGCAAGTGGTGTCATGTTAAATCACAGGAATGGACTGAGCCCCTGAACCATCCACTGCCCTTCCCTTCACTGGCATCCCACTCACTGCTCGGCTCCAGTGCACATAGACAAACACACATCCATACTCATACCTACGTACATAACCCGCTTCCCATTGACATACTTTACATCACATGGTAGCGCTAAAGTTATTCACTGTAATTAACCCCTGCTCCGCTGCTACAATAAACTTTTTTATTTACAGGGCATATTCCAATAAGGCCACAGGTTGTGTGATACTCAAAACAGGCATCACACCTAGGAAAACAATAAGCACCCATTTCTGTGACACTGCCAGTTTAGCAGATAGATACCTGATAGGCCCTCATAAAATAAATCCTGTTTCATATGAAGGCAACTTACACCTTGACACTGCCCAAGTGTAAACCACAATCAGCCTAGCTCCTCTAGGAGACACAGCTGAATCCTGTCTGAGGATTGTAATATGTATATACCTGCAGAGTGATGTGAGATCTCAGTGGATGGTTATGTGGAAACTGCCGATTCCATATCATCTTCCATATTTTCCCTCTGGCTGTGGGTGCAAAGAAAAACAAGCTAGATTCTGATAATGCTCAAATGTCACATCTCTGCCTCAACAACCCCCACAACTCTTATTTTGAAATCCTCTCTGTCTTTATGTCCTTTTCCATATTCCAGCCTTTGTCTTTTTCTGGCTCCGCTGACCTTCTCTCATGTCAGCTCTGGGACAGATTTAGCGGCCTGGTTTCTGGAGCGACCAAATAGTCGGGCACAACAGTGAGAATGTATGTGTGTGTCTGCATGGAGATGAGGAAGGAACAGTCCTGACCACACAGATACAGTTACAGATATCAGGACGCAAAATCAGAAGAAAGCAGAGGAGGGTAAGCAGGCTGAGGCTTGCTATCCTGGAGGAATGCAGTTCAAGGACACAGGAATACAGTGATACTGAAATACTATGTATATTTATAAGAGGGTTTTAAAAATACAAGAGGGAAAAAACGATTACAGCCTGCAATAAGGACAAAATGATAAAATGGTAAAAAATATGAGAGCAATGTATAGCTGAGAGTTTTCATCCTAACTATTTTCCCTTCTAGGAAGTGTTGCATACGCAATAAGGGATAAAGGGAGAATGTGTTAAGTTATTCTGGGATGGTGGGATGGAGGTACTGTCGCCTTGGAAACATGCAGATCCCTGTCCACTCCCTGGGCAGTGCAGTTGTAGAGCTGCCAAGCTCTGGGTGCCATGTCCCCAGAAGTCGTATGCTATTCATTGTCTCTATGCACTGTGCCTTGCCAGATGTCATGGACAGAACAACAAGTGATTTTTGCATTAGATAAAGTGAGGACAGCATTCTGGCCATTAAGAGCACAGTGAAGGCAGCAAGACCTACCTGACTCCTTAATACCACCACCAGTAGAAAGTAACTATGTGCTGTACTTGAGAACAAACTAAAGAAATCATGTGTAACTTGTCTATTTCCATGTATTATATTTGTACTCCTCTAGCAGTAAAAAGAAGATGGCATGACTCCACTACATTTATTTGAGTTATACATCATAACATACAAATGGATGACAAATAAAAGGAAAGTCTCTGGACTCTACTGGAGAGATGAACAGCAGTCTCCCAAAAAGATTTTCCCTCATCTGGTGTTTCAGTGATGACGGTGGAGACGCTGTCTAACACGTCAGTCCAAAATCTTGGTCCAGCTTGTGGAATGTGAAGATTTGTACTGATAACTGTGATGAAGTTCACACTATTTTCTAGTATTTTACAAAGCAAACAATTATTCAATTAATAATAATAATGACGGAATCAATTGACAAAAGTCATTAGTGGCATACATATTTAAGTAAACATTCCCCCTTTCAGCTTAAACAGTAAAATTCTGCTTACACATGAATGCAAAGAAAAATAGTAATCTAATAATGATAGATAACTCTCAAAGGCCATTTCTGTGTATCAAATACTGTCACATTTGGTGTGACTGTGGATCAGCGGGTAGAGCGGTTGGAGGTTTGAATCTCAGTGCCTGCAGTCCACATGTTGAAGTGTCCTTGGGTGAGACACTGAACCCCCAAGTTGCCCCCGATGGTTAGAGCCATTGGTTGAGTTGGCGCCGCAGATGGAAACAAATTCCTTGTGTGTAACATACTTGGCCAAATAAAGGTGATTAGATGATATTATATGATTAGAATACCCTCTACAAAAAGCACTGTATAGCATTCATATATTATGGAAATTTGTATGCATGTGAATTTCTTTAATCATTCTGTCTGACTCTTGGTCACATTGTAACTTCAGATGGTGGAGAGCTTGACAGGGGGACTTTCCCATGCTGAGGGAATGTCCCCTAATTTGTAGTCACTATCTAAATAACACCCTGGGGTAGCCCAGTAACTGTATTCATACATCGGTTAAGATAGGTGCAGTGTTACAGAAAAACATATACTGGAGAGGGTAGGTTGTCTGTCCCACTTCTCAACAAGTGGACAAAAATAAAGCAGACAGGAGTGAGACTGCAGAACAGTGAGTAAGCAGAGGGGAGTTGCAGGCGCTGGAGCGCAGTCAGGAATAAGGACATATGACAGCTGGCTTGTCACAGGACAACTTATTCTTTAGCCAAAACACACATGTGCAATTGTGTCTTTCTGTAGGTGTGAGGACAGTCATTACCCTAACCTTAAACCAAGTCATCCCCTTAAATTTCTATTATTTTCAATATTTACATAGTGAGGTCCAGCATCCGGTTCCCACGCTGAGGCTGAGTTTCTACAATGTGTGTAAACAGGTTTTGGTCCCCGATATGTGAACAATACTGAAAGCAGCATTAAACTACCAAAATCTGAGGGGGAAAGCTTAGTGTGGAGAAAAATCAATGGCAGCAGCATTGGGATATGATATCAAAAATATGACATCTGCAGTGACGGCAGCAAGGAGCAGAGGTCCTACAAGGAAAGAACAAGTATTTAGCAGATCGAGGATCAGTCGTAATAATCTTAACAGAGTGCTGTTCACTACAGCAAAGCATCAAACAGGTCGCTGCGAGCAATGTCAGTCAGGAAGTATATCATTTCACGCAGGAAATATGCAGTGGGAAGGCTGGTAATGATAACCCAGTTTCAGAAGCTAGTTATCAAAGACCGGTTTAAAAAGTATTTAAGAATATGGATGTAGCAGGCAGAATAGTTGTTTGAATAATTGAGGGCAACCAGACTAATTAATCCAATATAGAGTAATGGGACACCGATGAGGATTAAATACAGAAGATGGCAGTAAAGCAGCATTAAGGATGCCAACTGCCATAAAAATCCAGATACGAAGAAGCATAGACACACACACACACACACACACACACACACACACACACACACTCTTCTCCAGCAGGTAATGTTCATCAGCTGTCCAACTGGTGACAAAGTGAACTTAATCAACTCCACTGCTTTACAACTTTATTACAGGACCAGTAAAAAATAAACTAGCTGTACCATGTTTGACCACATTAATCTTAATGCCAAGAACTGCAACAATAAATGTCATTGTAGAACAGTATCACTGGTTTAATATATACTTAATCATTTTATGAGGTCTGCATCTACAGGAAGTTCCATTTCTCAGAATGAATAAATATACTGATACATATAACAGGCTATATATAGGTTTTATGTAGCTAATATAGCCCTCACAACAGCTCAGTGCTGGTGCTACAACAGGAGGCATGCTCTATATAGATATATGTACTACATGTTGTTACTGGTATAGTACAGCTTCTGTGGGCACCAGTCACAATATTGACACTGCTCCCCACCTGCTGGCAGAAAGACTTAGCACAAGAGCAGAATAAAGAACATGATTTGTCCATAAAGCTTACTGTGCTTACTGTCACTGGGCATCTTACTTGTGAAAGCCACAAAGCATATTTGTACACAGCTCACACTCTCACAAAAGCCATACAGTATCTACACAGTCTTCATATAACATAATAATCACAAAATTTATTATGGACAAAATAAAGCTTTGTCATTACTTGGCAGTGTAATGCTTAAATCAGACCCCCAGCTCTCAACAGGTTACTGCAAAGTCCTTTTCACTAAGGCTACATTTGGTAACTTAACCTGTTTCTTCAAAGACTTGCTCTTTCAGAAAACACTTTTGTTGTAAAATACACATCAGACCTCTGTAACAAGTGCAGCCATTTTCTGCTTCATTAAGGTAGTCATTGAAATAAAACAATTATAAATAAATTAAATACAATATATACAGAAAAGTTTAATTTATAGGTTCCTCAAGTGGATGTAAAGTGACCTTACTGTATGATAACCTTTAAACATTAACTGGCAATTATGTGCGATAACTCACTGCAGATACTGTCATCTGAGGTTTGGTGATTGTAAACACTGCTTACACATTTACATCAAATTACTACCATGCAAGAAAACTACAGTCAAATACTGTGCATTCTCAAGCTGGTTAAAATCAACTCTACATTTTTAAAATACTATGTTGAGAGAAACAGGATTTAAGCCACCACATCTGTATTTACAGTGCATTCACCGATGCTGGGAGAAAAGCTTAAAGAGGATACTATCATGGAGCTGCAGTGGTTGAAAATGAAATCAGGGCTTGTAAAACTGGCTCATCTCTTCTTCCTTCAATCTTGACTTAACTCAAATCTCAGAGCCACAATACCTAAGAAGATACAAAAAAATGTTAGAAAAGAGCCAAATGGCCAAGAAAACTTGGGGGCGGCTGTGGCTCAGGAGGTAGAGCGGGTCGTTTCCTAACCAGAGGATTAGCGGTTCGATTCCCGGCTTGTCCAGTCAACGTGTCGAGGTGTCCTTGAGCAAGACACTAAACCCCCAGTTGCTCCCGGTGTTGTCACTGGTGTGTGAATGCGTGAGTGCGAATGGGTGAATGGCCAAATAATGTGTGAAAGCGCTTTGAGTGTGCTGTAAAAAGCATAGAAAGGCGCTATACGAGTATAAGACCAAGACCAACTAAAAGAAAAACAACAAAACAAGCAAAAAAAACCAAAAGGCTGTTTAATTCCTGCACTGCTCATTCCATGTTTCCCGATGATGACTGAAGTAAATCTATGGTGAAAGAAAATCAAACACAACTAACAGAAGAACCAAGTCAAGCAAAACTAGCTTTTAAATGGCACCATTCAACACATGCAATGCAAAAACCAATGACACAGTTAACACAGCCTGAAAAATAAGCCTTCATGAAACCAAACAGCTCACACAAACGGTGCACCCTTATGAGGTTGTCCAATAAATAAATAAATATTTATGCCTTTCTACGCCCTTTATTCATGTGGCACTAAAACAAATATCTGGGGTAACAAACTCTGAAGTCCAAGGTTTCATTTAAAAATACTTCAGAGGCAATGTGATGTAAAATAACGAGCAAGATTCAGAAGTGCCATCAGTCTGTAAATCTGTATGTTTTAAGGGAAAGTGCACATTGTGTGTGTGTGTGTGTGTCTATAAGCAGTGTGTGCAGCTGCACAGCTGAATGTGTCTGAAAATTTTTGTCTAGTTCTCCAGAGCCTGATAGGTGTCTGTGTGCATGTGTGGTTTTTTTAGAGGATGAATATCTTGATAACTTTTTGAATAATCTTTCCACACCCAGGACAAGGGGCCTGGAACTTGTGTAGCTTCCTTGCGCATGGGAAGCAGGTTATTAGGTGAGCCGTACGTCCATGTATTATATTTCCATTGCGTGGTCGCACTCGACAGAGCTTGCAAGGCTCCAGCAGTGCCTCGGGCCTCACTTCTTCAACCTCCATGCCTAGATTTTCCTGACTCTCCCCTCCTGAAAGCTGTTCATCCTTATGGAAGCCTGAGGGCCGAGGCCCTTTGTCTTTCCCCCTGACCACAATGGCTAGTGGTCGGTCAGCTGTGGAGTGGGAGGGCAGGATGACGGGGTCAGATACTGTCCTGCTGCAATCTGGGACATCAATGCCTGTGTCACTGTCATCTTCTTCATTATGAGTAGTGAGAGAGCTGCATGCTGCAATATCAGGAACAGAAAGGGAATGGGCAAGTCGAGGGACATCTTTGTACCAGTTCTTTCGTAGAGCCCAGCAGCGAACACAGTACCTCCGCACAGGTGTGTTATACTTCCTGCACTCTGTACACTGCCATGCATCCTTGGAGAAAAGGTAAATAAGTCACATATCTGCATTTTCAGGTTCTAATCGACATCTACAAAAACCAAAAAGTACAAAACGCAGAGACAACATATGACAAAAACCTGTATGGAGATCTCTGTATCAGTGTCATCGCTAAGGCACTGAGAATCATCATCTGGCTCCTCCTGCATCTGGACAAACATACAAGACATCTGATCAAACATCTCATCAAATTATCCTCATTCTCAATGGCAAAAGCAATTCTGTTCCCTTAAACACGAATCAATACAATCATTAATAACTTTATACGATGGCAGGAGCCTGTCTAGAAGCAATGAAGACAAAGCCCTAAACAAACG